CGGAGTAAATCCATATGGCGGAGTCAGGTTAACACCTGACACCTATGTAATAAAAAAATAAGAGGTGCTAACCTGATAACTTAATTACAGGGTGGCAACCGTAGCTCTCATCTTTTATTTCAGTAAAACAGGAAAGGTTCTGAAATGTACAAAAGTAAAAAAATGCTTTCTTTTGCCTTCAATAATAAGGTAGATTTATTCCATAACTTTTGATAAATAAAAAATGAAGCTTTAGGTACAAACAGGTCAGCCAAATAAGCACAGCCTATATTCCATGTTTTGGAGACAGTTGGATTAATGGTTTCATTTATCACAGCAAGTCTTCCAGTTCCTGAAGCAGTAAATTAGCCCCAAACATCACACTACCACCACCATGTTTTACTGTTGGTGTGATGTTCTTTTTCTTAAATGCAGTGTTTCTTTTACATCTTCCCAAAATAAATCCTTGTCTTGTTAGTCCACAGAACATTTTCTCAAAGGTCATGGGGATCTCTGGAAAAAAGTTCCTTTTGATCAGCAGTGGTTTAATTCATTGAACTTTGTCTTTTTTTTTTCTTGAGGTCTCTTTTTATTAAACACAAAACAATCAGTTACATTATTGGCTCAAGATAAGTTTTTTTTATTTTTTTTAAACATTACAAATACAGATTCTTAGGAAGTTTCTTATGCTTTTCAAAATATTTTATTAATGGATTCCAAAGACCATAAAACCGATCACTGGACCCGTAAAAGTTTAAAAAACAATCTACTGGACTTGGTTTCCAAGATTTGAAGATGTTTCGCTTCCCCTCCAGGAAGCTTTCTCAATTCAAATGTCTGTCTCTTAGTGTATATTTAATCTTTTCTAATTTAAGGTACAACATTAGATCAGACATCCATTCAGATAACTTTGGTGGGCAGGACGATTTCCAGCGTAAAAAGAATTTGTCTTCTAGCTATCAAAGCTGAAAAGGCTATTATGTCTTTGAACCTAGAGATATATACCCATAACCCATACTATCAAGTGGTATTGTTCCAAAAAGTGCCAAGCCTCTTCCCATATGCTATCTGGAATTAGCTCTCCCATTTCATTATCCCACTTTACTTTCACCTTAACATATATATTATCCCCTTGTGAGGTGATTATGGAGTGAATTCTAGAAATGAGGCCTTTTAGATCAGGAGAGAGTGCAAACATATCATCCAAAACAGTAGGCTCTGGTTCATTTGGAAAGTCTGGTGTGTTAGTAGAAATAAAGTGGGGAATCTGTAAATACCTAAACTAGTCTGAATTGGTAAGATTAAATTTTACACATAGATCACTTAAACTTGCAAAAACCCATTCCTTATACAAATCTTTAAACCTGACAAGGCCTTGTCTTTTCCATCTCAAAAAGGCTATGTTAGCTGGAGCAAATGCCTGATTATGGCAATTGGGCACCACTATGGAAAACTAAGGCCCATATGTTTTCTGAATTGATGCCAAATACGTAAAGTTTGCGTCACTATAGGATTTGCAGAGTATGATGAAATGGAATTAGGGACTCTGGAGGTTACTAAGTCTGGAAGTGATGTTGAAGGACATGAGTTGTTTTCGGTTTCACACCAGACATGATCTGATGATACCAATATAGTATCTTCTGGCAATTTGCCGTCCAATAATATATTTGTAAATTTGGCAATCCCAATCGAACATCAGTGCGATGATTCTGGAGAAATGTTTTTTGTATTCTGGGAATTTCACTTGCCCATATAAACGATGTAGTACACCTATCTATAGACTTAAAAATTTATTTTGGCAAACAAATTGGGAGACACTGGAAAAGGTAAAGAGATCTAGGGAGAACATAAATTTTTATACAATTAATTCTACCAACAAATGTCAGATTTATGGCAGATTTTAGCCTATCCACCAAAGTTTTTACTGTTGTTGACTAACCTGCATTGAAAAAATGGGGCTCTGAAGAGTTTGATCCAGAAAGGCAACAATGGAAAGATAAATTTCTATTAAAAGTGTTAATTTATGGAAGAAGCTTGAAAATTTCTACTGCTTTTGAATATTATTGAGTGAATTAAATAAATGAAATTATAAAAAACTGTGTCTAACCTGACATAAATGGATTGCCTCTACACTGCTCAGTTTGAGTGTCCCACCTGAAGCGAAGCTGCAATTAAAGTTCTTTTATGGTCATTGAGGCATGCAAACCTCGACTAAAGAAGGTGGCAATCCCTATTCAGAGAAAAACAACCTATGGAGGAAAAATATACTATTGATATAAGATTGAACAACCAGCATAACATTGAACTTATTGGATGGCCATTATGCAAGTTAATCTAATCTGAGCCAGTGTGCAGCCAGTCTTGATTTGAAGAAATTGGAATCCTACTAGTAAGAACTTAATATCAGATATGTACAAAAAGTATATTTTTCCATAACACATATATGTCCATAACTGATAATTGAAACAATGTTTGCACACATTTTTTTTTTTTTTATGTAAGTGACAAAGATGTAGGAAGAATGGCAATCATGGAAATTCCACAAATAAGTAGTAAACCTGCGGTTGTAGATATCTGAAATGACATTTTTACTAATAATAGATTTTTGGTGAAATTATCTGTAATGTTTTGTTTATTTTTTATATGTGAAATAATAATAATAAAAAACCCCACTAACAATTAGTTATGGGTCTGAAATCCTTGTCAGACATCTAGTGTAATTTGTTGTTGTTGTAAAGATACAGATATTTATATTAGTTTAATTATATACTTATTTATTTATGTTCCATATATTTATACTATAAATGCACAACTCTATATTCATTTTTACTCTTAACAGTTATTTTTTGCATCCTTTCCTTCATTTCATTTTTTATTGCTCTTTGTTTATGAGTGACAGTATCTTTCGGTGTTGAGTTGTTTCAAGAAAACTATTTTTCCAGAAATACAAACCAAAGGGATAAATAAAGTTAATCATAATCTGGAGAAAATACACACAAATGAATAAAAGTCATTTTAACTGGCAGGTTTAGGAAAAATTTGGGATTTCACAAGCTTGAAGGAGCCCAAATAATCAACACTTTGCTGTCAGATTGTTGCCTAACAGCACTTTAAGGGGTTGGAAATGTGTTTATATAGGACTAATTTATACAGTGATATTAGATAAAACAAGAGGATAAGATTTCCATGGACGAACTGATAGATTTACCACATAATAGTGTTAGTTTGTGTCCTAATTACTAACGACAACATTAAAATGCATCAATTCTTCATTGTTAGATTATTTTATGGAGTGTTTTCCAAACACAGCATTGACCTTTTGGGAGATTAAATGTAAGACCAAAACAAGTAGTAGGGCTACTCAAATGTGAGGTAGATGGAAAAGATGTTTTTTTTTTTTTTTTCACAATTTAATGAACTGAAAGGTATGGCATGCATTTATACCAAGCTTGGGGCAAGACTTCTAGCAGATCCCATCTGACTGATATTGGGCTCTTCTGCAAATCTTGCAATGACTTAAACTAAAGTCTTTGCTACTGAAGCTGCAGTAAAACGTGTTAATACAAAGTGTTGACTGAAATGGGCTGAAAAAATGCATTCAACACTTTTCAGTTGCATTTTAACTGTAAAAAGTCTAAAAGAAAAAAACATCACAATTTACCACTGAAGGTTTGACTGTGATTTTCTGGAAAATGTTTAATTGGTTTGAATACTTTCCCTATGCTTGGTGAATGTATCTATAGGTAAAACAAGACAGACCTAGAGGATTACAGGAACACTTAAGTCGCTCAACTCAAATTACAAACTTCAACCTGATTTGAATCAAGAAAAATATTAATTGAAAAAAGGGAAAAGGTTATACCAACCTTTTTTGGGTAGATGTAAATAAAATAAAGATGCTTTTAATAATCAAACTAGGCTTCCCATAAGAAAAATCATCTTTATAGTTTAAACAGATAAATCAATAAATTTTAAAGCAGTTTAACAAGAACATGGAAATTATCAATATAAAATATATTTCTGTCCCCTACTGTAAAAAAAAAAATATTCATGAATTATGAGAAAAAAATGACAGTCAGAGATCAGGTCCTCACAGAAACACATATAGAGAAATATACAGACAGTTTCACCTACATATCAGTGTTTGGTTTATCAAATAAAACAGATCCCTAAGTTAGACCAAACATGACCAACATGGTCTTCTACTTTCATGTTAAATTGTCCGACTCATCAGAAAACAACCTTTTTGCAACAGAAGGTGATGCTTTGACTGTGTTGTTTTCTGGACTTTTCCTGGTAGACGTTCTCTGTCTACACTCATTCATCAACGTCAGTAAAGGTGTTTTGACCACTTTAGCAGAAGCCCTGGAAAAGACAGAAAGTATACAATAAAACCAGTTAGCAAAGTTAGACAATGAAAAAACACGATGAAAAGAATGATAACAAAATGACCTGATGAGACGCTGAGTCACAGATTATAATAAACAATATTCCTCTTTAGTTTGACTTTAGATTGAAATACTTTTTGGTTTCCCTCATGAAGTTTTCAGCCTAAACTATGTTATAGTGCCACCTTGTGGATATATATGATATAGTCACATATAACAAGCAGCACCATTGAGTTTTGTCTGCATTATGAAATAACTTAAACTGAACTAAAGAGAAATGTACTGATTTAAAGGTTGATATAAAGCTATAAATAATGACTTGTTGGCATAAATATTATATTTGGACTTAAAATATTGAGACTATGTTAAATTATTTGATCTTCTTTTGGAATCAGTTAATTATTTTAGATTGGATTATAATGTATAAAATATCCATCAAACAACCTACAACAGAGCCCTGTGGTACGCCTCTAGGAAATTATATCATTCAGCAGAAATCCTTATACTAAAGGTCTGAATGAACAGGAGGAACTGATACCAGATCTGGTGACAACTGCATTTAAAAAAAGATTGAAGGTAGAACTAGAACCACATCACAAACAGAACTAAATTACTTTCTGTGCGAAAATGTTCTCACCCTTCCTTAGTTGTTGTTATTAGTGGTGTTTTGTTCTGCTCGGGGCCCCTGAGGGAAGAAAAGTTGTAGTTTATAACCAGCATTAAGATGCTTTAACAGGTTGTAGATGAAAAAGGGCGAAAGGAGAAAATGACCTGTTTTTGTAAGTTTTATATCTCCAGTAGGTGAAGATTGCGAGACAACAAGAACAGGCCAGAGTTACTACAACCACTGCGTAGATCCAGTTGAAATCTTTCAGAAAAATAAGAAAAATGTTACAAAATCAATCAACTAAACAGAAATCAGACAGCAAAAATAGAGTTTTAACTTACTCTGATCTACAGACTCTTCCCTCGGGTCTAAATCCACAGACTTTTCTTTTGAACCTGTCAAAGAAAACAAAGATCAGAATCCAGAACTGAGCATACATGAGAGTCTTAAAAAGAGTTCCTCACCATCATCAGATGTTCCTTTAAATCCAGGAACGGTGATCAGCTTCTCTCTGGGAGCAGCAGAGAGCACTGACACTGAACATCCAACCTGTGTGCTGCTGGAAGCTGACAGCAGAGCTGTGGTGGTGACGGTGACTGTACCGTTGCTGTGGGTCACACTGCTGCTGTTGTAGTGGGAGAAGCTGAGGTTCTGCTGTAGAACAGTCAGTGTTACAGTGGGAGCAGGTCGACCTGTGGCTGAACAGGACACAACTGACTCTGCAGGAGACTTTGATCTGTTGACATCAAGGACGGGATCATGCAGCTCTGGGAGGAGAACAATAACAATACATGTGATTTCATGAGAGTTGGAGTGATTATTACTTTAAAATGCTGCTCTAATAAACAAATGTTTTCAGTTTCCTTTTTTGTGAGATGCTCTAGCAGTATGCAGACATCGCCTTGTTCTCAAACTAACCGTTTCCTACTTTTCTAAACTACATATTGCAGCTACTAACTTCAGTGTATTTTTGAAGGATTTTATATAAAACACCAACACTGTGTATAATTATAAAGATTTAAAACAATCAAATATGGGTCATATCCATCCATCCATTCATTTTCCATCATGCTGGGTTCTCGAGGGATGCAGGGGCCTATTTCCAGCTGTAAAAGGGCGAGAGACTTGGTACACCCTGGGCAGGTCGCCATCTCAGGGCGGACGGGTCATAACATGACATAACATAATTGTTTTTAATCTAATTTTTTATAGCATAAATAAGGAAACAGATCTTCTGGAGCACATCCATCAGCTTTGTACGTCAGTAGAAATCGCCTGTTTTCTTTTTTTTTGCAAAATCCCTAAAGCTGTGTGAATTTTATTGGAGAGTATCTATGAACTTCCATACTGGTTGTAGGAGAAAAATGGAAATGTGGTGCATGGAGAGCCTGGTTATGAATGTGTGCTGTGGAGGCGGAGAGTCAAATGCAGGTGTTTGTGTGCACTATGGAAGTAAGTTTATAGGTGCGCACTCACCTGACTCACTTGATGAGAGCTCGGTAGGGGCTGCCATATTATTGTTTGACTGCTTCAGGTCGTTTTTCCTACAAATTAATCAACTGATCTGACGTTGGGTTCTACAATCATCCCTGCTGCACTGTCATAACTTGTGCTGCTGCTAATAAACCAAACAAAAAGCATTTGGGATGTCAGCATATCTGCAACAAACTTTTGGGGTGCTATGAGAGCTATTTGGGAGTGGTGGGTCCCCGAACAATACCCCTAACCCCCGATTACTTCCCAGGCACAGCACAGTGGCAGCCCACTGCTCCCTAAGGGGATGGTTTAAGATGCAGAAGTGAATTACTCTTTTGTAAGATCAATTATGCTCAATATTTTTTTATTAAGCGCGTCTCAAATAGAAAAACGAACAAAGACCCGACCCAACTTTCAGCGGCTAAAAAGAACTGGTTTGAAGCAGCGATACTGGCGATTAAGCTCATATATTCAATGAGATTTCAGGTCTAGGTCTCTGACCAGGCCATTTTAACTCATGAATATGTTTGATCTGAATAGCCTTATTGCAGCACTTCCTGGAAATTTAAGTTCAGTATCATGCTGGAAAGTAAATCCCTATCCTGGTTTCACATCTTTTGAAGCTTCTGCAGCTTTTCTTGGAATAAGAAAACTATATTATTTAGTTCTGAATAAGTCTTCCTGTTCCTGCTGCAGAATAAAAACATCTGATTTAGGTTTATATTTTAAATCTATTACCGGTAATTAAATTGAAATCTCTTAAGAAATGTATCTTCTATTAATTTTGTAATTATTTTTAAAAGTTGAAAAAGGGGCTAATTGTTATGGGTTGAATAGCTGAGATGTTCTCATCTTCCACAGCATGTTTCCTTTCCTCACCATAGAGTCTGAGGCAGGTCCAGCCTATCAGAGCTCCTCCAGGATAGGTGTTAAACAAACATCTGTAGCAGCCTTCATCCTCCTGCGTCACCTTCCTGATCACCATGGAGCAGCTCTGAAGATTTTTGTGCTGAAAATTCATCTTCTCCTTCAGATCATCGTTCATTCTACAACCAAATTTCTTGGTGTAGGTGGCGAGATTCTTCTCTCCATCAGGGAGGACTTTCTGCCAGGTGATCTGGAGGACATCTTTTTCCTCCGAGAGCTGACAGCTTAGAGAGGCTTGGTCTCCTACTGCTGCCCACACAGTCTGCTGGGTTTGAATCAGAGCCTCACCTGTATGAAGGAAATCAGGAGACTGTAACTTGAACCTGGCTTTTACAACCACCTCATAAAACCCTTACACTGATTCAAGGTTTCACAGTTACTAACCACAACATATTTTACTTACTCTTTCATTTTTATTTATAAGTGTTGCATGCATTTTGAGTATTTTAGAGTATCTGAGTAAATCAGGTACAAAAAAAGCCCCAAATTAAATATTTTTGTTAAAACAAATGAAAAAAACCCCCAAAAGAATGTATAAAGGTCCTTAATAATTAGTTTTCAACACTAGTCCATATTTGTCTCTTGCATATACTTTAAGTCTGTTGTCGAAAAACGATAAGATACTGAAAAGTTCAGTATTACTGGACATTTGTTCTGTAACAATGAAATGAAATAATCTGCTGCTACTTACAAAGCATTTCATTTTGATAAGAGCATGGCTTCTCATTGATTATCAACATAGAACTATGACATAAAGATATATATATATATGTATATGTTTATCTTACCATTAATTAAAATTCCCGACAGGATAAAAAGGACAGCAAAGGTTTCCATGATTGCTATGTGCGCGCCAGAATTCGAACTGTGAGAGGTGTAACTGAAGGGGCGGTAGGTATGTATGGCAGGCCGTTTTGACATTTATTAACTTGATTGTAATCTAGATGTCTTAAAGCTACAGTGTGTAACTTTTAGCGACATCTAGCGGTCAGACTGCAGACTGCAGCAACATGAACATCTCCCCCCCCACCGCTTCTCTCCCCCCAACAGTACGGCGAGCGTTACGGGACAAAATGTCTTCCACGACGTCCGCATCACCTACCTTCTCAAGTGATGAGGTTTGTTTACATAGATAATTTTACAGATAGTATTTCATTAGTCTGTGTAGGGTATAGATTTCATGTAGACTTAAGATAATAAATATACCCGTTATTTTTTCTACATCGTTGTGACGTTTTGGCGATCTCGCAATCACTAATTTGTTGGCTCTGCGCTGCCGTAGCGCAAAGATGTCTGCCTCCATGGCTGCGAGACCCGCTCCTATGTAATTATAAATAACGAATTCTAAGGCAACGCAAATATTAAGGTTAAGAGGCTGAGCTTGTAGATGATGATAAATAACATAGTTATGTATAATATATTACATTTCTGACTGTATATCCCTGTAATTATTACACACTGTAGCTTTAAATGAACTTCTTCCTATTCATAATTAGCATTGCATGAATCTAAAATAACATTCGTCCTATCCAAAATAAACATTTTATATATCTTAATGTAATAATTACTAGTACAAATGACATTCCAATTTATGTGTATTGGGCTTTTAATTCCAGATATCTAAAATAACATTCTTTCTATCTAAAATAAAAATGTTGGATGTCTAAAAATGAATCAGATCTCCATAATATAATTAATACTAGTCATAATGATAATTTCAGATATCAAAAATTATTTAGATTCTAGATTTATAGTAATTGTTGTTATTTACATTAAAAATATATTTTTACAAGTAGAAATGTCATTACAGATATCAACTAATTATTTTGTTTAGTTAAATTAGAATTCCAGATATCAGAATATTAATAATGCCTATCCAAAATGCAGCTTTAGATAGCATGCTATCTATAATAGAAATATGACTAGCCAGCCTGCCAATTTTATGTTAAAACTTAACCCCATTATTCTTTTGAAATTTAGTCAAAAAATGCCTATATGTTAAATTGGATTTTGTATAGGCATTATTAAAATTTAGATATCTGAAATTCCAATTTAACTAGTCATATTTTCAATAGTTGATATCTGTAAGGAAATTTCTACTATCAAAAATATATATTTGATGTCAATAATTGGATTTCTGGATATGTAGAATATTATATTAGATCTTGATATCTTAAATTTTCATTTTGACTAGTAATAACTGTATTGTGGAGGTCTAAAATTGAAGAACATGCATGTCAGAATTCTGTTTTAGATATGAAGAACGTTATTTTAGATATCTGGAAGTAAACACCTAATGCATATGAATAGGAAACGTGATATAATTTGTAGTAGTAAGAATTACATTTAAGATATCTGAATTCTTTATTTAGATAGGAAGAATTATGTTTTTTTATGTCTGAAAAAAAAAATGCATTTTAGACACCTGAAATATATATTCAGTCAAGTTAATAAATGTGAAAACGGTAACTTAGAATTTGTAAAGAATTCTAGGTATCTGAAAGTTTAATTTTACTAGTACATTATTTTTTTAATTTTACGTTTTGCTGGCAAATATGTAATTAAAGATACCTATATTTGAAATTAGACAAGTAGGAATGTAGTTTTGACCAGAAGAATCTTATTTTAGAAGAATCTTCTTTTATGGAACAACAAATGGAACGTAAGAGAGGACAGCGCTTCTAATAAATGCTAAAACGACCTGCCATAGTCTTTCAGCACTTTACTTTCACTTTACAAGTTTAACTCAGTTGGAAGCGTTCCCATTCATAGCAACGGTTGGATTCAGCGCGCCATCTCCAAAAGTCATAGTGCTTGATACCAGCAGCTGGCAGTAGTGTAACACGTTTGGTTTAGGGGTAGAAGCTTCAGTAACATGTAGCCCACAGTGTAACCATGGGATACAATTCCACAACTTCCTGAACTTTAGCCAACTCCTTTGTGTTTTTAAAGGATTTGAGCGCACAGGTTCAAGCATGCAAAATCTACAGAATGTGGAATGTACAGTACAGTTCTTGTAACAGAGAAAGAGGAAGTTTAATTTTACCACTTAAAACTGATTTCAAATCTGCAACTAAAATTTATTTTGTTTTCGCACAGATACGGTAAAATATTAATATTTTGGTCATTAGAGTAGAATTTTTTTCTTGAGCACAGGCACTGAAGATTATTTACTTTTATACATATGCAATAAATTAGTAAAATAAAAAATGTATTAGCCATATACAAGACATGCCTTAAAGGAATAGTACACCCAAAACATGATTAGCCTTCATTTTCTACTCACCCCCATGCTGAACAACACTCTGGAGTACTTTTTTGATATCTCAAATGCATCTGGAGATCTGGGAGGCTTCTTGCTGTC